TTTTAAATATAGGTTCTTTAGTTTTCCCATCATACTTGCAATGTAGATAATAGCCTTCTTTTTATATTGGAGAAAATTGAAACTCAAAGAAGTAATTTTGCTGTAGTTGCACAGAGTGACGGGATGTGGAGCATGGGAGAGAGCTGGATGCAGGACACCTACCTCTTTGAGAGATTTTCGATGCTTCTTGAGTGCGAGAGAGATTTTTGAGAGGAAGACTCTAAGATATCTTTGCTTTCCTGAGAGGAGCTAGGGGAAGGAAAGCCAAAATAAAAATGGAACTAAGGAAGACTGGTGGGATAATACCCAGAGAAGAGAGAAGGAAGTAGGGATAGAGTGGCCAAGTTAGAGAACAGGACAGACATACTCAATAGCAGGACAGGAGATGACTTCATTTTTCTCGATCAAGTACTACACCCAGTTCTCTGCTGAGAGTGATTGAGGTTTGAATGGGGTTGTTGGCATCTAATGTGTGGTAACACTTGGTGTAACCACAGGAATGAGCAAAAGAATGGCAGCGTTGAGGACCCAGCTCGGTCCCCAACTATGTTCAGAATGACTTTTTCATCGAGAATGCCATCCTATGAGGAGATGTGTCATCTCATTGATTGCCAGGGATGACTCAGTTTTTTTTGGCCGGTTGACCAAGGGAGGTGTTTCTTCCTTCCCCTTTCTGTGTGTAAGTTTGCTGAAACTATATATTTACATTTATAAGCTCAAATAGGACTGCTCTTCAGTCCAGATTACTTTAGTAGCTACACTTCCTTTCCGTGAGTCTCTTGAGCAGGCTCTCAGGTGAAGAAGAATTTGACAAAATAATTACATGGAAACCTCAATGGAACTACTTTCACTACCTCTTTTATTTTTTTTAATTAAATCTTTATTGTTCAGATTATTACAGTTGTTCCTCTTTTTCCCCCCATAGCTCCCCTCCACCAGGTTCCCACCCCACCTTCTGCCCTTAACCCTGCCATTGTCCTCATCCATAGGGGTATGATTTTTGTCCAGTCTCTTCCCGCACCCCCCACTCCCCTTCCCCCCTGAGAGTTGTCAGTCCACTCCCTGTCTGTGTCCCTGATTCTGTTATATTCACCAGTTTATTCTGTTCATCAGATTTGTTATTTACTTGATTTTTAGATTCACTTGTTTTTTTTTTTTGTTTGCTTTTTTGAGGTTTATTTTATTTTTTAAATATATTTTATTGATTTTTTACAGAGAGGAAGGGAGAGGGATAGAGAGTTAGAAACATCGATGTGAGAGAAACATCCATCAGCTGCCTCCTGCACACCCCCCACTGGGGATGGGCCCGCAACCAAGGTACATGCCCTTGACCGGAATCGAACCTGGGACCCTTCAGTCTGCAGGCCGACGCTCTATCCACTGAGCCAAATCAACTTGGGCCAG